ATCTCATCCAAAAGTCATAATACCCATGTACAAGATGTGAATGAGAGTGATTGCCTTTAAAATGCCTTTCTTGCAGTCGTTGTCAGATCCTTGCTTGCATCGCTTCGTGAGAAACTTGGAATTCCGTCTCCACCAGAAATTGTTACTAAAGTAAGTTTTTTTTTTTAAAAATTTTCATCAAGCGGAGTATTCTATCTATGTTCTTATTTCAATGGACATGAGTTCATAGTATTATCTAAAAGTTTCTTTGTAGAGTGATAGACTATTCTTAGGCTGTTCCATTATTCAATAACTCCTTCATAGCTCCTATCCTTACACCAATTAACTTACAACCACTTGATGATGAATATCTTGGTGAGAATCGATCCTTTTCGTTTATGCTTAAACAAGGGTTTTTATTAGCTATTATTTCTCCAGGTCCATTAGAAGGCGCTGTCGAGTCCGGTGCATTCCTCCATAATTTCACTTCATTTAACATGGTAAGTTTCTCACAGTCAGTTGCTCTGGAGACACCATTGCTTACGAATTTAAATCTTAGTATTCTTATCTCTTGTGGAATATCATCGGACGACCTGGAAAATCATTGGAATTCTTGGCGCATTCTGTGGATCCGCCTACGGAATCTGAATTTTACTCTGACTCGAGCGTTGGTAAGAGTTAACGAGATGTGTTGAATGCAGTTATGCTTTTTTCAATAGGATTTCGTCCAATTGAACCTGGATCAGGCGTGGAGTTCAGCAAAGCCCTCGGCGGAAACCGTGTCCGTGAGCAGTTCACAGGTTGGTTTTACGGACTTATTCCAAGCTGTATTTTAGGCGTATGTTTGTGAATCAATGCCTTGATAACTTAAGCTCAGGCTTTCATCAAATAGATGCTGAAAAAACTTGTTTACTCATTGTTTCAGTGATTCTTTTGACCTACAATCGTGATGCAGTATTATCGGCTTCTCTGGAGCGACTCCACCGGCTTCCTTATCTAAATAAAGTCATCGTCATCTGGAATAATGTAGCTAGGGAACCCTTGGGAGCTTGGCCTCGTCTGCATGTACCCGTTGAGTAAGTCTATAATCTTCAAGATTTGAACAGTAATTTCAATGTAATTCTAATGTCATGTTTTGAACAGGTTCATAAAGGTAGCTAAGAATAGTCTCAATAACCGGTTTGTGCCGTGGGATCGAATAACTACAGAAGCGGTGCTTTCGCTTGATGATGACATCGACTTGAAACAACACGAGATCGTGTTTGCGTTCAGGTTAGTTTGCGATTTACGCGGTAAACTGGCTAGACCATAGAACTGTTGAACTCGTGACCTTCTCAACTTTGATGAAGTATTTTCTCCTGCTCTTGAATAAACACCATAAATGCTTCTCATTTTTGCTTTTCGTCAAGATCGGCTTGGAAGAAGGCAAAGATTGCTTTGTTGCAAAATATTATGAAGTTACATGATACAAGGATACTGCCTTCCTCCTCTTAGTCAATGTGCTATGTTGTTGTTGTGTACTGCCTGAAAATTATGAAGTGAATTGGAATGACGAAGGCTTTCAGCATTTGAAAAAATTCACTGATGTGATTTGTGTAATTATTGTATACTGGGGTATTCCGAACAGGTGCTTACTTGCAAGAACGCAAATAGAATGTTGTAGTACAAATCCACATCTAAATTTTTCCAAGTTGACATGAATACCTTGTATTTGAAAGTCCTTTTTTATTTCCGCAAA